CTAATTTGCCCGAAATGCTCTGCATAACAAAGGGCTTTCTAAATAGTAGTATGTCATTGATGTCAGCTAGGCCTGTATACCTTGTTAGTTAGTTTAATATGTTTATTATACGTCACATACCCATCCTGTGGACGTATACCTTGTACATGTACTTGTAGCAAATAAAGATATTATTATTATTATTATTATTATTATTATTATTATTATTATTATTATTATTATTATTATTATTATTATTATATTCTTCCAGTAATCTTCACCAGTCGCCCTACCTTAGCCGACAATAGTGATAAAATAGTATTTGATGTGGTAGAGGTTAAGTTAAATGCAGTGATCTATAAGTGCCCAAAATCTCAGGCTGTAAAAAACGGGTGCTAGAGGTCAACGGCCGTTCGTCATAGTAAGAGTTGCCAGAAGTCACCGATTTCTCCAACGCGCAAGTTATTCTTGTTGTATTAAACTGAACACATATTACTCTGTTAAATATTATTTCAGTAGTCCTTTCACGAGCTAGTCTAAAATCACCGTCCGGATTCGTTCAAAAATTAGTGATCCACTGACCGGATTCGTCCAAAAATAAATGAACCAATGACCAGATTCAAAAGCTGATAGAGTTTCTAGGTGCCCTTAACACCTCACTCCACAAAGGAGGCAGTAAAGCAATAACAAAGAACTACATACCGATAGCGCTAACATCCTATATCATAAAAATCTTTGACGGGGTTCTAAGAAGCAAGACCACCACTTATCTAGACACCCATCAGTTACACAACTCAGGAAAACATGGGTTTAGAGCAGGTCATTCCTGCCTGTCCCAACTACTGGACCACTATAAGGTCCTGGATGCTCTAGAAGACAAACATAACACAGCATCGTGTCTTCCTTTGCAGATGACACCCGAATTTGCATGACAGTGTCCTTCATTGAAGACACTGCAAGATTCCAGTAGGACATCGACCAGATCTTTAAATGGGTTGCAGAAAACAATATTAAGTTCAATGATGAGAAATTCCAATTACTCCGATATGGAAAACGTGAGGAAATTGAACCTATATCGGAGTATAAAACAAATTCCAACCACAGAGCGAAAAACTAATGCATGAGACCTATTGTATCAATCGCATGTCAGAAAAATGACAGAATAGATAATGAGAACTTTCAGAACTAGGAATGCCAAGCTCTTCAGGTTGCTTGTTCTATCTAGGCTGGAGCTGGAATATTGCTGCACACTAACAACACCTTTTAAGTAAGTAAGGTGAAATTACTGACCTAGTAACAGCAACAGCAAAGAACTACAGACCAATAGCACTAACATCCCATATCATAAAAATCTTTGAAAGGGTCCACCCATCTAGAAACCCATCAGTTACACAACCCAGGGCAACATGGGTTTAGAACAGGTCGCTCCTGTCTGTCTCAACTATTGGATCACTACGACAAGGTCCTAAATGCACTAGAAGACAAAAAGAATGCAGATGTAATATATAAAGACTTTGCAAAAGCCTTTGACAAGTGTGACCATGGCGTAATAGCGCACAAAATGCGTGCTAAAGGAATAACAGGAAAAGTCGGTTGATGGATCTATAATTTCCTCACTAACAGAACACAGAGAGTAGTCGTCAACAGAGTAAAGTCCGAGGCAGCTACGGTGAAAAGCTCTGTTCCACAAGGCACAGTACTCGCTCCATCTTGTTCCTCATCCTCATATCCGACATAGACAAGGATGTCAGCCACAGCACCGTGTCTTCCTTTGCAGATGACACCCGAATCTGCATGACAGTGTCTTCCATTGCAGACACTGCAAGGCTCCAGGCGGACATCAACAAATCTTTCAGTGGGCTGCAGAAAACAATATGAAGTTCAACGATGAGAAATTTCAATTACTCAGATATGGTAAACACGAGGAAATTAAGTCTTCATCAGAGTACAAAACAAATTCTGGCCACAAAATAGAGCGAAAACACCAACGTCAAAGGACCTGGGAGTGATTTATGGGCGGAGGATCTCACCTTCAAGGACCATAACATTGTATCAATCGCATCTGCTAGAAAAATGACAGGATGGATAATGAGAACCTTCAAAACTAGGGAGGCCAAGCTCATGATGACACTCTTCAGGTCACTTGTTCTATCTAGGCTGGAATATTGCATGCACACTAACAGCACCTTTCAAGGAGGTGAAATTGCTGACCTAGAAAATGTACAGAGAACCTTCACGGCGCGCATAACGGAGATAAAACACCTTAATTACTGGGAGCGCTTGAGGTTCCTAAACCTGTATTCTCTGGAACGCAGGCGGGAGAGATTTCATGATTATATACACCTGGAAAATCCTAGAGGGACTAGTACCGAACTTGCACACGAAAATCACTCACTACGAAAGCAAAAGACTTGGCAGACGATGCACCATCCCCCCAATGAAAAGCAGGGGTGTCACTAGCACGTTAAGAGACCATACAATAAGTGTCAGGGGCCCGAGACTGTTCAACTGCCTCCCAGCACACATAAGGGGGATTACCAACAGACCCCTGGCAGTCTTCAAGCTGGCACTGGACAAGCACCTAAAGTCAGTTCCTGATCAGCCGGGCTGTGGCTCGTACGTTGGTTTGCGTGCAGCCAGCAGCAACAGCCTGGTTGATCAGGCTCTGATCCACCAGGAGGCCTGGTCACAGACCGGGCCGCGGGGGCGTTGACCCCCGGAAACTCTCTCCAGGTAAACTCCAGGTATGGTATTAGAGGGCACTCCCTCAACTACCTCAAGTCTTACCTCAGCAACAGAAGCCAATATGTGTACGCAAATGGGGCAAGCTCTTCCGCACAACCAATTACAGTTGGTATCCCACAGGGAAGTGTCCTTGGCCCTATTCTCTTTCTCCTATACATAAATGACCTACCAAATGCTTCGCAATTACTCAAACCCACACTTTTTGCAGATGACACCACATACGTCTTCTCTCACCCGAGCCCAGTCACGCTAGCCAATACTGTAAACACCGAATTACAGAAAATATCTACCTGGATGAGGACTAACAAAACTTACACTAAAACATTGACAAAACCTACTTCATTCAGTTTGGTAGCAGAGCTACAGATGTACCTCTTAATATAACGATAAACGGATCACCTATCACAAAGCTAACAGAGGGAAAATTCTTAGGAATCCACCTCGATAACAGACTCAAATTTCATACACATATACAACAAATTTCTAAGAAAATTTCCAAGACTGTAGGCATACTATCGAAGATACGGTACTATGTTCCACAGTCAGCCCTCCTGGCCCTTTATCACTCTCTTATTTACCCCTATCTCACCTATGGAATTTGTGCATGGGGCTCAACAACAACTAACCATCTCAGACCACTAATTACCCAACAAAAGGCTGCAGTTAGAATGATAACAAATTCTCACTACAATATTCAAAACACTCAACCTACTCACCATACAAAACATCCATACTTATTATTGCACTTATTACATACATAGAACACTTAACTCTGATATTAACCCTCCCCTCAAACATCTCCTTGCCAACCTCAACAGAACATATAACCATAACACAAGGCACAAATCACTCTTTGATGTTCCTCGTGTCCATCTCACGCTATGCAAAAACTCAATGCACATAAAAGGCCCTAAAATCTGGAATTCATTACCTGTAAATATAAAAGAAAGACTACCTGTTTATAAATTCAAGTCTCTTCTCAAAGTTCACTTACTCACTTACTGTTCAACTGCCTCCCAGCACACATAAGGGGGATTACCAACAGACCCCTGGCAGTCTTCAAGCTGGCACTGGACAAGCACCTAAAGTCAGTTCCGGATCAGCCGGGCTGTGGCTCGTATGTTGGTTTGCGTGCAGCCAGCAGCAACAGCCTGGTTGATCAGGCTCTGATCCACCAGGAGGCCTGGTCTCAGACCGGGCCGCGGGGGCGTTGACCCCCGGAACTCTCTCCAGGTAAACTCACTCAAAACCAAATAAATACTGAATAACTGAACCATATAAATTGTATATCCTAAATGTTACTCACAATTATATCACACAAATGTTAAACCTAACTTTGTTATTTTTTTTAAATACACTACCTAACAGAATACTCCATTCTACTGAATGAACAGCAATGCATGCAACCATAGGACCTGTCTTTGTAATACTCATTTGTATTTTATAGTTATCTGTTTACAATAATGTCTTATCACTGATTTCATCATTGCTTAGTTAATCTTAAGTTAATTTTAAGCCAGCCCGTAATGCTATGCATATAAGTGGCTTTGGCATGCTGCTCTTACCTGTATTTTTTGTACCTCTGTTTGTATGCTAAAATTTCTAAATAAATAAATAAAGGTTTATATTTGTGTGTTAAGTAGTCAGCAAGCCATTAAATTAAGTCGGCCCATAATGCCTAGGCATAAATAGAGGCTCTCTTTGCGCTGCAACCCATTATTGTAAATACATAATCTCAATGTACTACTTGCAAATAAATAAATAAATTTGAATTTAAGTTTATTTAAGTAATTATTAGTTATTTAAAGGCTGCCGGAAATGCTCTGCACAACCAGGAGCTTTCTATATAATATATCAATAATATCATCTTTTCCAAACCAATTGTAAACCATTCTTTATAGAAATAAAGTTTATCGTATAACACACAGAAAGATCTTACTGGGAATAAGCAAGTTAGTGTTCGCTAACATTTAACATCAAAGAAAACTTGAAGGTAGAGTGTCAGCCACAGCGTCAACACAACACTCAACCTTACCTACACTTTTGACGATATGTAATTTAAGAAGAAACTAATTAAGTTGGCGCCTATTGCAAAGAAGTGAGAGAGGGACCACGTGGCGTGATATACCTGTATTATCCAGTAGATATTAACCCATAACCACGAGATTTATAGAATAATTACATCTTATGTTTTAGTATCACACATCTCCATTGTAAGCATATAATATGCCTCATGTACCCTTTAGGAGGATACAGAGAATTGGGGCTACCTTTTTCGTATTGAGGGTCATGCATGACCCTTTCGGGTTTAGCGCTTAAGATAAGATTTGTTGAATTTTCAACCCGGGGGAGGATTAGTCACCCAGGATAACCCAGGAGAGTGAGTGCGTCATCAAGGAGTGTGTGTTAGTGGAGAACAGTTGTCTACTAATACCCAGGTACCTTCTTACTGCTAGGTGAACAAGGACAGCAGGTGTGAGGAAACATGCCCAACGTTTCCACCCATGCCAGGGATTGAACCAGGGACACTCGGTATGTGAGGTGAGAGTGTTGAAAACCGAGCCACGGGACACCTAATTTAATTATATTATCATCTGTTATTAAAATTCAACCTGATTACCTCCAATTCCACAGGGGGTATGACCCATTTTGGTTTAGCAGCTTCACGTGAATATAATAATGACTAAAATAGTATTTATCACTGCAAATTATTTGCATGATCTTTGAAAACTTGATTCACAGCTTTATATATGTAACCACAGTCACCTTTCATTAGTAGTTTTGCATAATTGCAATTGTATTTAATAACCTCACCCAATATTTAGAGGTTAGTATTCGTAGTGGAAGCGAGTTCGATCATAGTGGAGAAACTAACTGAGTTTCATGTTAATAAATTAACTAATAAAAGGGAAATAATTCTGTGATTGGGGGAAGTGTGGCCATTTAATTGAAATTTCTGTTAGAAAACTTTTAGTAATATAATACAATAAAGTAATTTTCTTTGAACTGTACCATGAAGAGAGTAGTTAAACATTCATGCTACCAACTGAACCACAGGCTATGTAGCCTGTGTTTCAGTTGGTAGAGCACTTAGCTCACATACTGAGTGTCTGTGGTTCAATTTTTGGCAGGGGTGGAAACATTAGGCATGTTTCCTTACACCTGCTGTCCCTGTTCACCTAGCAGTAAATAAGTACCTGGGTGTTAGCCAACTGTTGTGGGTTGCATCCTGGGACAAATTTAAAGGACCCTAATGGGAATAAGACAGTCCCCAATGACGCACTGACTTAATCAGGTTATTCTGAGTGGCTAACCCTCTCGGTTAAAAATCTGAACAAAATCTTATCCTGTTTTTCATTTTGATTCTGTAAATAAAGATAAAACTCCATGGGGAAGTGGAAAAGAATCATAAGAGGTGACCAAAATGCTGAGAGCAAGGGGCTAGTAACCCCTTTTGTATAAATTACTAAATACAAAAAGAAAACTTTTTATAAAGTGTTTTTTTTTCTTTTTTTGGTCACCCTGCCTCTGTGGGAAATGGCCAGTGTGTTAAAAAAATACAAGTATAATTTGATGCAATTAAAGGTTCAGAAGAAAGTCATAATTATGCAGTGCATTAAAGTTTACATACTTCTTAAATCTAGACCTAGTATATAATAAGTTATTTAGTAAGTAACTAAGCTTATTCAGGTACAGGTACAGAAATAAGTTATATATACATACATATAAATCTAACCTAACATGGAGCAATCTTGGGTGGAAATTTTTATTCTCATTATAAACCCAGAGAATTAGTAATATACTAAATAACTTCCCCTCTCTCTTCCTCCCCTCCCCCCCTCAAGGAAGGTTCCTTGATGTTGGTGAGGGGCTCTTGATTTAGGGAATTGGATCTGTGCTCCAGTTCCCCGAATTAAGCCTGAATGCCTTCCACATATCCCCCCCCCCAGGCGCTGTATAATCCTCCGGGTTTAGCGCTTCCCCCTTGATTATAATAATAAAATAAATTCCTCCCCTCCCCCCCCCCAAAAAAAGAAGAGAAATTTGTGGCTTATTTTGAAAGGAATCTTTTGATCTACTTTCCCAGGCTTTGACAATAGTTGGCTAACACCCAGGTACCTGCTTACTGCTAAGCAAATAGATGCAGTAGGTGTAAAGAAATAAGCCCAATGTTTTCACTTGTCCTGGGTTGATCCCTCATGCAGATACTGTACATACACAAATTATTAGCTCAATATTTACTAAGGCAAACAATAAATATGAACAGTTCCATAAGCCCTCAGGGATAATACCAGGATAATTGTTTCCAGCTTTTTATGTGCATGGTATAGGGCATACTCATGTGTTGCATGCATGTGGAAAAATGCATAGTACAATAGTGCTCTTTGTGATGGGTATGATTAATCACATAGTCAATGATGCAATAGTATTAGTCAGTGTACTGGCTGGCACTATTGTAACAAACCCTTCAAAGTAGGAATGCACTTGCTTTGATGCTGGATAAAGGATCTTGATTTAAGGAATTGGAGCTACCCTATTCCTTGGAGCATACCTGATTACTTTGATGAGAAAAACATGTGTAATACTTGGGTTGATGAGAAAGGCTTGTGCAGTATATGGGTATCTTTGTTGCAGAAATGTTTTGCCTGCATACCAGTACAGTAGAAGTAGTTTTGACACAATCAGTCCATCATCCTTAATAGATAATGGTCAGGCTCTAATGTCTAGAGCTTAGGCGTGTGGCCAAACCCTACATACCTCCCATTTCATAGGTGCTGTATGATACATAAAGTAAATTGAGTAATTTCTTAATTATGTGTCTACTTTGTAGTCATTTGTCTTATACATTTTTTATTACTTTCAGTGTGTCTTCGACATGGCAACGAGACGAAACCTTTTCCAGGGCCAGTTTGGCATTAATGAAACTCCACTAACAATTGCCATAGAATATGGAAATTTCAAGGATGCAGAGGACATTATTCAAGCTATCAGTGACCCATCTTTTCTGAATGATGGCCAGTATGAGAACATTCCTCTCCACATGGTATTAACTAATAATCACCACCACACAGATCAAAGCCGTAACTTGAAAATTGCAAAATTGCTTGTCCAGAAAGGTGCAAATCCTAATCTACGGATACCTTATGAAGACCTGGACAGAGCATCACCTAGTCCTTTTGAAGAGCTTGTAGTGTACCATGAGGTGCTTAAATCTTATGTTGATGGAAATTCTGAAATACTGTGTGAAGAGTTAAATATGTACTTCGAATTAGAAGAAATTAAGTTAGAATTTATTACTAACACTGTTGATTTTGAAGGTGCCAAGTGCATGCCTACCATTGAAAGTTGCCATAAGCTAATTAAGCAAACCAGTGACTTGATTGATGTTTTTTTAGAGTATGGTAGTGATCCTAACGTTGTCACAACTTTTGCCCACAAAACTCTCTTCCACTGGGTTATTGAACATGAAGATATTGAATTGGCAAAACGTTTTCTAGACACTTGCAGAGTTAATTTAAATCTTTGTGACATTCATGGTAATTCCCCATTGATGGATGCTATCTTAAGAAATGACTGTGAAAAATCACTTAGTTTGTATGAGGCCATGTGTGATACTGTAGATTTTATTGATGTAAATATGCACAATTGCTGTGGTGAAACGGCACTCTTCAGAGCAGCATTTGTTGGAGCGATAGATTTAGCGTCGAGGTTGTGTGAGTATGGAGCTCAAATACAGACGAATGTTTCTCTTTCTCAGGTTCCAATAACTTATCCATTTCAGTGCTTAGGCTGTTCCAGTTCACGTATTCAACACATACTCCATTTATCAACTCCTTTATTAGCACCATTATTGGCTGATGCTCCAACAAGACTCCGTTATACTCATGTTTCTTCACAAGATTTTGAAGCTGAAATAAGTCGCCCACACAAACATCTTATTGATAAGATTGTTTCATCATCTGTTTCTCCTCTAATAGACAAAGGATGTTTTAATAATCAAGCTGTTGCTTCTGAAGTAACTTCTCTCTTATCCTTGAGTAATTTTGAACGTTTAAGAGATGGGAGAATTCAGCCAACAGATTTAATACTGCTAATGTTTGGACAGGTGTCTGCAGGCCTTCGCCAGTTGTGTATTCGATCTCTTTTTGATTATGTTTTTATGGTGTCAGAAATACCAAAGAAGACGTGGCCAAATTTAGTTCTTCATGACTTGTGTATCAAAGATTGCAAAGGGGCATTAATGGAATCTTACATGACAGATTTAATAGAATTACTTGGGCTTCCACAATCCTTTACAATATTTTTTGAAATTGAAGCTGCTAAATATCAAATTTGCAAGTTAATTATGGGTCTTCAGAGTGTTGATTGTGATCAAGCATGTTCAGCATCAGAAGGATCAATGTTTGATGACGACGATGATGATGACGATGATGATGATGGGGAGTCCTATAGTACTTCCATATTCTCATCAGATTATGGAGATTCCCTTCTTTTCTTCTCATCTGACATGTTAAGTGAGGAATCGTCAGAGGAAGTTGAAGACCTCTCTGAAGAATCTTTCTCACAAAGTGATGAAGATGAAAAAGAGAAGGGCTCTGATGGGACCAAAAGAGTAAATGGAGAGGCTAGTGCACGTAGGAAACTTAAATGTGACTTAAGCTCGAGCTGTGAGTCTGAGGACATCAGAGTTGTTGTTGAGTCTCTGTGTGAGGATGTTGCTGAAAATGTAGCACATCATGAGCATTCTTTGGAGTGCTGTGAGAATTACCAAAGGTTCAAAGATGAGTCAACAGTATCAACTGTATCAGATGGGGAGTTGACTGTAAGCGAGCCTTTGTCAGACTCATCATGGTAGATCATCTAATAGAAAGGTAAAAGTAATTTTTGTTGTTAGTTATTTCTTTAGTTTTAAATATGAATACTGATTCTTGTGTAATATAGTACACAGATACAGTAAACATTTTTTGTGGCTAAAATTTAGCAAGCTGAAATTGATGTTTTACTTAAATATTTGTAGAAGCTGTTTCAAATACAGTACACATTTGCCTCTACTGTGCACCAAATGATAAAAATCCTTAAGTTAAATGGAAAGAACAACTTTGCCTATTATCTGATCTTTACTTTGCAGATGCTAATTTAATGTCAAATAAAGCATATACTGCATTTGGTAAATCAGTGACAATTTAACCCTTTGACTGTTTCAGTCGTATATATACGTCTTACGAGCCAATGTGTTTGATGTATATAAGTATACTCAAAAATTATAGTGGCTTCGAATCAAGTGGGAGAAAACTGGTACTCCCACATGTGAGAGAATGGGTCTGTGTGGTCAGTGTGCGCAGTATAAAAAAAATCCTGCAGCACACAGTACATAATAAGAAAAAAAGACTCCGACTGTGTTTTTGGATTAAAACACTGATTTTGAGGTGTATTTTCATATAGTATTTATTTTTTTATTCTTGTTTTCTTGGTCTCATTTATAGAATGGAAGAAATATTATAGAAATAGAGATGATTTTGATTGGTTTCACTATGAAAAAGACCTTGAAATACAGAACAAAGTACATAGTGGAAATGTTCGATTTTTGCTGATGTTCAAGAGTAAACAAATGACATCATTGTCCAATAAATGTCCAACTAGCCGTTCTAATTCAAAATAGAAAGCAAGACTAATGTAAAAGGGGCCTGAAGACATGACTGATGAACAGAGAAAATGTTATTTTAGTGCCAGGAATGTCTGCATTGTTCATTCTGGACCCTATTTTGAAACTGGCATATTTTTTAATTTGTGTGAAATTGGCCAAATTGCCAATTTCTGGCCACTTTATTGGGTAGTTGAAATCGGCAAAAGGGCAGTTTCTTGTACTTGATCGATAGAACAAATGGAGTTTGAAAGAAATAGCTGTGAGTTTGGTTGACTGGAACAATGGAATTGGCCAAAGATAGGGCTCAAAGTGGGTGAAATCGCTGATGCGTAAATATTGCCAAAATCACTAACTTTGTGAAAGCGTAATACTGAAGTTTTCCATCAAATTTTGTACTTTTGGTGTCATTAGCATCAGGAAAAGATTCTTTATCATTTCATAAGAAAAAATAATTTTGTTTTTTTCAAACATTTTGCGACACTGAGAGACTAGGATTGGGGGTTTGCGACAGTCAAAGGGGTTTAAGCATGGAGAGCCTATATTTTATGATGCTTCATCCACAGTGGGGCTTTAACAAGTATGAGTAGGGTCAAGAAGGGGTGGTCATTTTGAAGTTGATGGATGGGGATGACTCTAGGTACAACCATCATCCCCACTGTGGGTGAAAAATCATAAAATAAAGGTTCTCCCTGCTTAAACTTTCTTTGAATTACCACTTGTTGGCTTATGCCATTGTCTGCCATATACAGTACTAATCATGGTGACAATAGATGGACCAGAGCTTGTATTTGGTGACAACCACAGGACATTCAGAAAAGGCACAGAGTTTTGCTCTTGTTACAGTACAGTAAATCTAATTACTGTATTACAAATGAGGTTGAAGTTATTTATACAGGTACAACAATTTACTGGCAGCAGATCGTCTGGCTAAAATAGTTTACGTGACAGCCACAGATGGCATTGTATGTAGTGCGTGCTCACTTATATTGTTTACTCTACAGTTGTTGGTAATCCTTTGATTCTGTGTGATTCATAGTATATTTTACTAACAATTCTAGCTACGGCTTGCGATTAGCTCTGCAGCTATAGGAAAATTCTAAAATTTACCATTTTGGGAATGGTGGTATTGCAACATTCTTTGTAAGTACAACGATAAATTAACCTGTTTCATTTTTGCTAATGTTTAAGTTTCCAGCAGACCATGGTGAGTTGGAGGTGTTATATGACCTCAGTTGGTCCAGCAAATTTGAAATATGTACCATCAAAGGCTGGGGAAACCAAGGATGCTGGAAAATTGCTGTTGTACCTGTATATGCACAATATTTGATGAATATTGTATACATTTTTTTATAATGCATTTATATATGCTTAGAAAATGGGACCTGGCATAGAGTTAAAATATGTTACCACATTTATTAATAGAGATTTATAAGCAGATAAAGTGCAGTGTATACTGTACCTTTTATGCAGTATAGTTCCTACTAGTGAAATACATATATTTTTTTTTCTTCACATTGAATGTAGTGCTTTATAATCTTTAATTGGTAATGCTTTTGTTGCCAGATCACTTGGAAATTAGCATAAATGTTCATTGTATAGTGTTGTACGTATGTTGAAATTGTTTGTATATACATGATATAATGAAGTCGGTAAGTATATTGAAAAGACATAAAAATATAGCATATATGTACACATACTTGTGACTACTACTGTACATGATTAGAAACAGACACTGATGCAGCTACATGGAGGCTATATTAATGATGTTTCACTTATCCAAGGGCCTTGTCAAGTTGCCTGGGAAAGGCTTTACAGAAACATCATTAATAAAATTTCTGTAACTGCATGCCCTTCAAGGGAGGTGCTTTGATGCTATTGAAAGGCTCTTAATCCAAAGAAGTGGAGCTACCCTTCCCTTTCCATGGATCAAACCTGAGTATCTCCCATTTCATGGGGCACTGTATGACCCCTACAGGCTTAGTGCTGCCTTCATGCAATAAATAAGTAGATATGTAACTGCATTTGTGTATTCCTCCTCATGTCGGTATTTTATTTCATTGCCCACTCACTACGGTACTGTATTTGGGATTACCATACACTGTCTAGTCCTAATTAGAAGATTAGAACATTGCTTATAGTGTCCCATCTTCGGTGTTTAGTTTGGCGTTTAATTTTTCAGGTTTTCTAGTTGTGGTACCTGTTATTACGGATCTTATTCCAATAGTCTTCCTTTGTTTATGGAGAAATATTTGTTTAGTAACCTATTTTGCACAGCATTTTTCTTTTCAACTGTGGCTCTTAGTTTTCTCTGTTGGTGGTGCTTAAATATACTGTATTCATTCTCAATTTTTTCTGCAGCCTTTTATGAGCTTGCAAGTCATTATTATGTCTTCTTTATCTCTTAAATACTAACAAATGCATTTTTAAGTTTTGTAATTCATATCTCATAGATCTGGGAGCTTTTTTAGTAGCATATCTTTAAATTTTTCTATTTTATCTGCAGTACTTGTTTTTCTTTGTGTGTGTGTGTGTGTTTTTTTTGTTTGTTTGTTTGGGGAGGGGACACTATATGTAATGCATAAAACTGTATAATCTAATTTTGGTGTGATATATTTTGTGATTTTTTTTCCTTCTGCTTGACCATACATATACTGTGTCTGAAAGTTTTTTTGAAGTTTAGTAGTGTGTAAAACATTCATGTTCTTTACTACTGCATTTATGCTTTTACAGTGATATATTTTGTCTGTCATCACTCCAGGATTACTTTCTTTGTCCAATTTCAATACTTTATCAGTGTACAGTATATTCTTTACATATTTGCTTCCATTTACTGTCATTTATCTACAGTAAATTCCACAAAATATTTTAGCTTTCTTAATTAATCTATGTCTTTTTGTAAGGACTTATAGTCATCATGATTTCTTAATTTGTATATGATTTATGTATCTACCCATGTTTATGTACTGTCAGAAGACAAAGACAACGACAAAAATTTTATTTCTTTGCAAGGTTACAATGTTTATTTACAACTTTGATTTATTCAGTACAAAGAAAGCCACTATCATGCTGGGGCATTTTGGGCAGACTTATCCTAGTACATAATAACTACTTAAGTCTAGACAAGGTAAGAGTGGTTAACTTTTTAATATATCTTTATTTTATCTTAATACTAATGTGAGGTAGTCAAGGTGGAGGTTTATAAAAATAATCTTGAGGTTGCATATAATAAAAACAATATTACAATCAATGGTTCAAGCAGTAGTATTTCATGGATTGGCAGATGTTTTAATAGACTCAAGGTCATATAATATAATATTTGGGAGATGCTTCAAACTGGTTAGAAGTTGTTTTGGTTGGTTTGGTTAGTATTGAGAGAGGAGATGATTTTTAAGCATAGCCCTAAATTTGTATGTTGTCAGGGGATCCATTACCGGTTCAGGCAGTGAATTCAGATATTCAGGCCTTTTATGTGCATTGCATTTTTGCACAGTGTGAGACTGACACATGAGATGTCAGAGAGTGACTTGTGCCTTGTTTTGTGACTGTGCATTCTGTTGCAGCTATCAAGGAGAAGTTTAAGTGGAGGGTTTATATTGGGGTTTAATGTTCTGTATATATATAGTAGGCACAATAACGTGAGTGTATGTCTCGTATATTTAGTAGATTCAGACTTTTGTAAAATGGTGGGGTGTGCTGTCAGGTACAGGAGCCGGTAATCATCTACACAGCAACTTTTTTTTTTGGATTATTAAAGGTTTAAGGTGGTTGGCTGTGGTTGATTCCCAGGCACAAATACCATAGGTGAGGTAGGAATATATTAGAGTGGTATAGGGTAAGCAGTGTTGTTTGAGGTGCATAGTATCGTATCTTGGAAAGGATGCCTACTGATTTGGAAATTTTCTTGGATATATGCTGGATTTTTTTTTTTCAACAAGTCGGCGTCTCCCACCGAGGCAGGGTGGCCCAAAAAGAAAGAAAAGATCCCCAAAAAGAAAATACTTTCATTATCATTCAACACTTTCACTTCACTCATACATAATCACTGTCTTTGCAGAAGCGCTCAGAAAAGACAGTTTAGAAGTCCCTCCAAACTGTCAATACCCCCAAACCCCTTCTTTAAAGTGCAGGCATTGTACTTCCCATTTCCAAGACTTTGAGTCCAGCTAACTGGTTTCCCGAAATCCCTTCACTAAATATTGCCCTGCTCACACTCATGCTGGATGTGGGAATGAAATTTAAGATTACAGTCAAGGAGAAGACCTGGAAATTTGCCCTCAGTGTGTCTTGTAATAGGGGAACTATTTATCGATATGGTAAGTTGGATATTTAAGGCTCTGTTTCCAAATAGCATGAAGTATGTTTTGTCTATGTTGAGAGTGAGTTTGTTGGTCATCATCTGAGTACGTATATATTTGTAGTATCTCGTTGTTTACAGTGTCTCTAAGTATAACTGGGTTTGAGTGGGAGTAGACATAAGTAGTGTCATCTGTGACTCGAACTGGTTTAAGGAGTTGAGATACATTGGGGAGATCATTGATGTAGATGAGAAAGAGGAGTGGGCCTAGGACACTACTTTGGGGCACTCCGAGAGCTACAGGCTAGATAGTGGAGTTGACTCCATTTGCATATACATACAGGTGTCTATTGTTAAGATAAGGTTTAGATAATCGAAGGACTGTCCTTTGATGCTGTAATGATTTAGTTTTAGGTGCAGGAGATTGTGGTCCACTGTGTCAAATGCTTTCCGTAGGTCAGTGAAGAGCCCCAGTGGATATTCATTTTTATCGAGAGCTGTATATATTAGTTCAAGCATTTGTATAATCACATCATTCATACTTTTTTTTTGGTCTAAACCCAAACTGGATACTATTAAAAGTGTAAGTATTTGTGTGTGGTAATCTGTAGACTGCTCCAACTGTTATAAGCTTTTTTTTAGGTTTTTTGATGTGAATTTAGCTATTATGTATTCACCATTGTCATTCCTTGTGCAAGTAAATTTCATACATTCCAGTTCATTGGAGTAGTGCCTCCTAGTTGGTCAAGCCTGCAGTTGTGTATGGCTGTGTACCTAGGTATGGTAATTTTTTTTTTTTTTTCAACAAGTCGGCCGTCTCCCACCGAGGCAGGGTGACCCAAAAAGAAAGAAAATCCCCGAAAAGAAAATACTTTCATCATCATTCAACACTTTCACCTCACTCACACATAATCACTGTTTTTGCAGAGGTGCTCAGAACACAACAGTTTAGAAGCATATATGTATAAAGATACACAACATATCCCGCCAAACTGCTAATATCCCAAAACCCCTCCTTTAGAGTGCAGTATGGTAAATATATCTGTCAAATCTTGTTTGAACCAGGTTTCAGTAAGAATAATGAAAGTTATAGTAACATTTAGAGACTTCAGCAGTGCAAGTAGGTAATAGTGTTTACTCAGTGATCTAACATTATAGTTGAATACTATTATGTTATTGCTGGCACTGAGTAGAGTTTTAG